TTGAATACATTATTTGCACATCTTCCTTCAGTTCTTCTTCATATGCTCCATGATTTTTCTAATTCTGTTCTTATTACAATTCCTCTCTGTTTACATTCCTGTTCTCTTTTATTGAATCTTCTCAATCTTCTACTGACAGACATTCCACTTCTGATTGGTGTTACATATACTTATATCAGTCAACATAATTAGCATGCATCACACAACTACTCTAATCTTCACACATATACAATCTAGTTAAAATGTTAACTGAGTGATGCGGAAACACCTAATCTCTGGATCATTGAGCTGAAATCTACAATATCCAAAAAACTCTATACTGACAATCACAATTAAGTAAATAAGTTAATCTGGTTATTGAATTCCCCATATTTATGATCTTGAATGTATCCAGATCACAAGAAGAAAAACTATGCAGTAATTATCTATAAAATAGCAATTCATATTGTTCTGAGTTGAACAGGACATTAATTAAACTCTAAATCAATCAGTTACATAGATACGTGTAAGTAACACTATGAAAGTTTGACTTGATAATTCTAAATACAGTGGATATCGAATGAATTATTTGTAGTAAAGAAATGATAATATAAATTCTGACTTTTTAAGACTTGGTGTAAGTTTCTTCATCATAGAATAAATAATGTATTTCAAATTAACTTAAGTTTAGATGGTACAAATAAAAAATGTGAAAGTTAGTGGGATATCATATATATACTATCTGATCATGTATATGGTACTGATGGTAAAAGTATATTGTACAAACGAGCCAACCAGAGTTGAGGAAACAACAAATATATTTCTTAGCTAATTTTGAGAATAAGTGATTTTCATCTTATTTCACGTACGATGTACAGTATAAATACCTTGGTGTAATAAAGTTTAAACATGAAAACTAACTTGTTTGCCATATAGTGAAAGTAATAGTGTTAGATATACCAAATATCGTGACCTAAACCTTAAGTAACGAACCCTAAATTCGTAACCTTAATCCCTTACCAATCCATATAACTACAAAGTGTTCTTGTACTGTAGCTAATACCAGATTGTGATCGGAACTCTAACCCTAGTTCTTGGCCCTAACCTTTAACATTAAACCCTAACACTAATTTCTAATCCAGGAACAATTTATATACTGTTAAGATTCGTTTTCTGACCTTATAAGTGTTTGAAAAAACAGGTGTTATATATTTATACAAACAGTTGGAAAGACCTTGGAAAGACTTCAACTGACTGTCCACACTTTGTGATATTTTTGTGTGTTTTTTTATTATAAACTATTCGTTTACGAAAGGTGTTTTTTGATTGACTGAAAACTGGCTAAAAGTTTGTCATGCTTATTATATCCTCATCTTCATGTTTAACCCTTATTGCATTAGTTGCGAAATAAAGCACAATAAAAACGTTCTTACGTTAAAATTAGAGAAAAACGAACAACTTGGCTGTTGTTCAGTTCCAATACATTTTAATAACATCGATATATTATTGTATGAATTAGATTTCTGCTAAAATTCAATCAAAAGTTCCAACGAACAAAAAAATATACGTTCTTTTAATGTGTATGAATACTGATGTTCTACACTGTTTATTTCTAACACTTTTCTGTTATATCTCAGTTAGTCAGCTACAACGTAGAACCAGGCACATATACGCATCGGTCAAAGTTGCCACACTTCATTAGCACAACAAGATCAACACCGAATTCATAGAAGTAGTTAATTTAATGGTGGTAATATACAAAAGAAAGATTGTATATAAGGATATAGTACAGAAAGAAAGAAAGATATGAAGAAATTTTAATTTTATAGCTTAAGTGAAGACAAAGAGTGTATACACCTACGTCATTGTGATCGATTATGAGCCATGCCACACAGAGTCTCCAACCATTGGTTACGATAGTCACGCGGACCCCAAACAAGTAGTCTGCATCTGCCAACATGGCTCAGACTAGAAGTTAGTGACTTCAAACACTGATGCTATGTTTTGGTTTGGCCACCCCAAACTCTCTTCCAACGAACCACAATACTAGTCAGCATAGCGCGTCGTGGTAATCAGTGTTCCGGCATATGTAACACGTCACCCAACCATCTCAGTCGATGAAGATTCATGGCCTCATCAACTGATTTACCATCATTCCCTAATACCCTGCATCTAACCCCACTATTACTTACCTGGTGATCCCAGCAGATGCGAGCAATATTTCTAAAGCATCTGTGGTCAAATAATAATAAGTCATACTATGATTTAAGTCAGTTTGATACAAAACACAATCATACATATACTGATTAGTTTTTTGATACAGTAGAATAATTGACAATATGAGATATGCTAATGTAACCTCAAAACTCCATAGTATCTATTTACATTAATATTAAATGATAGTTGAGGTTATTTTTTACACTTCAAGTTTCAGACTATGCTTAAATGTAATCTCAAGATTAAAAAAATAAGTAAAATGTTACTTAATAGATAAAATTCGACGATCAAAACTACAAAAGAATTTGATATAAATGACATTGTTCACCTTTCAGTTATCAATCAACTATAACCCCACTATACTAATTAGTGAGTCCCAACTGAACATATAACTTGAGTACAAAGGCATTTTGGAGTTTTATGAACAGTTCAACGACTACGAAGTTTACAAAATTTTGTTTGAATCAATCACTCTCCAATTACAGAAACATATTTAAATTTCAAAAATCTTTTACCATACTGTTAAAATTCAAAGGTAAGAAAACCCATTTAAAGAATTTACTTCATAAATGAATAACATGAATAAAATTATATTAGTCATTAACTTTTAGGAAAGCAACACTTTATAGACCATTAAAATTGCCTATTTTTTTCTTATTAATAGAGAATTTAGTCGTTATCAAGAAGTAACATTTTTATAGAATTAAACATTCGAAATGTGCAGACAATGAATCTGTCAGTCGACAATATAAACTACGGGTCTAACAATGTCGGCCAACCTCCCATACTGATAATAAACTTGTGTTAGCCGGTAAATAACATGGAGATGAACTCTCGAAATTCTTCTGAAAAACCGTAAAATGTAGAATTCGGCTATATTTGGTATAAGAAAAGTATCAGAGATGGTAGGAGATTATGGATGTGCAGTGCCGTATAGTGATTCAATTTACGAATGTGAAACGCTGTATGACAACTCCAAGGTTTAAAAGTTGTATCAACTCAAGTTATTCTATTTAGATCTATTTAAATAGCGTATAGCCAGACAAATTATGTAACCAATGTACCATTCTGATCATATTGGTTATTTTGTACACATTCATGTCTGTTTTTTGTTTATTCCTTTAACCATATTGTACTTATTTTCGTATCATTGACTATTGGCTTGTACTCATGTATCCTTTAATAGATGTTTTCTCTATACCTTTGTTTGCCGGTATGTATTTCCGTATATTTTATTCGACGTCTATTTTTTATACATAATCTGAGTTACACTTAAAATAAATAATCTGGATCAAGTTATTTCCATTTTCATGCATGTTTATCTGATCATATTTGAATGTTTAAAGATTAATCTACCAGGATACTTATTACTTGACTTCTACTACCAGAGTTGTCCAAATGATATTTAACCGAAGTATTATAAACGAAACTAAATATGAGACCGACTTTTTGATTGATTAAACTTGCGGTTACAAACTAGTAAGCCGAATTATTTTTGAACACTGTCTCCTGACATAGATTATTCAAAGTAACGCGCTAACTTATGGGTCTGGCGTTCATTGTTATAGACTATTGAGGATTCTTAAAGCACGTCTAAGTGGCTTTTCACTGCTACCCAGTTTTCAACACTTTTCCTCCATTGGTAAAAATTGACTATAAATGTTTTATCTAGTTTGTTCGGTCAGACATTGAAATATGTAAACAAAATTTTCAACGAAACTGTTTGGCTCAAATTATTTAGTTATTCATATTAAATTTAATGAACACCCGATCTATTTAACAGGAACTTTGATGTTATGTATCCATGCATAAAATACATACTGTATATACACTACTAAATAGTTGAGATTTACGTAAATCAAATGATAAAAATTACCTCCAAAATCACAAGTTTCCAAGAAAGGAAGTAACTCAATACTAGCATGAAACCAACCGAAGAACCATTACTTAACTAAGATGCACTGAACAGCTGCCTCGTCAAATGAAGGACTATTAACAATGAACACATCCAAAACCTATAGATCTAGCCGTCGGCATGATAACTCAAAGCGATTGAAATCAAAATCCGATGATTTAAATCTATGACCATCTTCGAAACGAAACACAACTTCACAAAGCGCTTAGTTAAACAATAATGTTATTCTATTAAATGTGATTACTGATAATTACTGTTTAGAATGACTATAATAAAATGACTACTCAAACTTAGACATCCAACTATCTGGTACTTAAGTGTACCGATCCTAATTGTTACAGTTCTAATTACCACAGGGAAAAATTAACTAGAAAAAAAGCAAATGACTACCTGTAGTTGTAAGAACTATACAGAAACAGATGATATAGAAGGATAAAAAACATACTAGGTTGCCGTCATTATATGTCGTTAAGATGAAGACACAAAAAGTAAACTCATACGCACTGCTGCTAATGACTTTCAATCATATATTATGATCTCGGACACAGTTTATTGCGAGCTCTAACTTGGATTCCTACATGTTTCTACATAGTTTAAACCACCATTCAGCATCTTCATGATCCAATGCTAAATATTTCCCTGATAATGCTTGATTATTTTCCGATTTCATTCTCATGCTAATATAACCCAGTGATTGTTAACTTACCATTCACAACTTGTGTAGTCATTAGTTCAGTAGGTGTATACTTACAATGTTAATTATCAATTTATTATCCCTATTCAAAAATAAAAGGTACCTCTGATGAATAAGATACATCTGAGTAAATTCAATATTTCTCACTTAAAGTATTAAATGTTTCTTAAAGCAGTATTGTTATTTTCGACTTACCGTATCTTCAGTTGTTTCGAAGTCAAATGTTGTAAAAATATTCACTGATCTTGTAACATTAATGAATGTATTTAAATCATCATCTTTTATGACATTAATTATTTGTCTTAAGTGTCCTTTTGCTGATGAATTATAACTTTGATTAACCATTATCCAGCTAAAAAAACGAAGTTAGCTGTTGTGATAGGATAGATTATTGATATTTTCACAATTGGGTTTTGTTAGGCAACGATAATGTATATGTATTTGTCTAAATTTTAGTTTTAGTACCAACTTAACGAAACCACATTATCTAACAAATAATGACTTATATGTATACATATAACATATATTCAGACTTCTGAACAACACTATGTGGATCCAAACTTTTAATTAGATGCATATATTCATACACATATATGTATGTTGCAATATTATAATTTTGTTTGCATATATATGTGTTGTGTTTAAGATTCCAAAGTATCACGAGATCTGATTTTCTGATCTGGCTTTCACTCTGTCATACCAAAACATACATAACTACAGATACACCTATTAACTTATTTGTTCATTTGGACTAACACAAATATGTTCACATGTCCTGTCATCAGCATTCGCCTACCCACTCATTATTCAAGTACTATATATATAAATCATACTAATCTAATTAACCAATCTTAAGTTCATTTTACTATTTACAAATTAATCTTATCAAAGAAAAATCTAATTCTCTTTCTGTGCACAATAAATTGTTTTATGATATTGGTGCCAAAATTATTTCTTCATTTCTCTTTAGATTAATAGTTATTTAAAATTAGTAGTAATCATATAAAAAACATAAGTGATAAATGTTTACTAAATTTTTCAGTTTGCTAACGCATTAAACTGATTGATTTTTTGTGAGCAACAGCGTTTTATGGGAGAGGACAAACCAGCTTCCAGTTGAAGAGGAAATTAGGAAAAGACGTTGGAAGTGGATCGGACATACATTAAGGAAATCACCAATGTGCATCACGACTCAATCCCTAACTTGGAATCCGGAAGGGAAGCGGAAAAGAGGAAGGCCAAAGGACACACTACTCTGGGAAATAGAAGCAGATATGAAAAGGATGAATGACAACTGGAAAGAACTGGAAAGGAAGGCTCAGGACAGAGTTGGATGGAGAATGCTGGTGAGTGGCCCATGTTCCTCGACGAGGGGTAACAAGCGTAACTTAACTAACTTAGTTACTTAATAACTACATGATTAAAATAAATGGAATAATTCACCTCCCTCAAATATCTGCTCCGATCTAACACTTTTCATATAAGAACAAGAGTTGAAAGGGAAAAATGTCTGTGCTAATAAATTCGAAAATATAAAACATTAGAGTTTATGTAGAGGTTGCATAAGAACGTTATAGTCTAACTGCAATAGCTAAAACGCCATCCTGTTAACGGTATTAGATAAGATGATGTCTATAGTCAGCGTCTATGTCATTCACTTACTTACTTTCGCCTGTTACTCCCAATGGAACATAGGCCAACGACCAGCATTCTCCAACCCACTCTGTTCTGTAGCTTCTTTTCTAGTTCTATCAAATTGTTGTTCATTTTCCTTATGTATGTCTCCATTTCTCGGCGTAATGTGTTCTTTGGTCTTCCTATTCTCCTTTGACCTTCAGGATTCCATATGAGGACTTGTCTTGTAACGCAATCAGGTGATTTCATCAAGGTGTGTCCATTCCACTTCCAGCGCTTCTTCATGATTTCATCCTCCACTGGATGGAATATGGTTTGTTGCCTCCCACAGTGACTTGTTGCTGATAGTGTCTCACCATCGGATACGAAGTATTTTCCGTAGACAGCTGTTAATAAACACTTGTAGCTTCTGGATAATGGCTTTCGTAGTTCTCCATGTCTCCGCCCCATACAGTAGAACTGTCTTCACATTCGTATTGAAAATTCTAACCTTGGTGTTGGTTGACAGTTGTTTTGAGCTCCTGAGTTGTAGATATGTTGCCCTCGCTTTGCCTATCCGCGCCCTCACATCTGCATCTGATCCACTGTGTTCATCAATGATGCTGCCCAGATATGTAAAGGTTTCCACATCATCCAAAGCTTCTCCGTCAAGTGTAATTTGATTGGTGTATGCTGTATTGTATCGGAGAGTCTTGCTTTTCCCTTTGTTTATATTGAGACCTACTGCTGCTGAGGCTGCTGCTACACTGATCGTCTTCTCCTGCATTTGTTTTTGCGTTTGTGATAGAAGAGCCATATCATCCGCGAAGTCTAAATCGTCAGGCTGCATCCTGCCTGTCCACTGTATCCCGTGATCTCCTCCAGATATTGACGTCTTCATAATTCAGTCGATCACCAGGAGAGAGAGAAAGGGTGAGAATAAGCAACCTTGCCTAACACCGGTCTTTACTTCAAACGAGTCGGTGAGTTGTCCTCCGTGGACGATTTTGCAGTTTAGTCCATCATAGGAGTTCCGTATGATATTGACTATCTTCTCATGCACGCCGTAGTGTCGAAGAAGCCTCCATAATGTTGTCCTGTCCACACAACCAAATGCTTTCTCATAGTCAATGAAGTTGATGTAGAGTGATGAATTCCATTCGATTGATTGTTCCACAATGATACGTAGAGTTGCGATTTGATCTGTACACTATCTATCCTTACGAAATCCAGCTTGTTGATCTCGAAGTTGGGCGTCCACGGAATCCTTCATCCTGTTTAACAGTACTCTGTTGAAGACTTTTCCTGGTATTGAGAGAAGAGTGATGCCCCTGTAGTTATCGAACTTACTGAGATCGCCTTTCTTTGGTATTTTGATCAGAAGTCCTTTTTTCAAGTCTATTGGTACTTGTTCTTCATCCCAAATCTTACTGAAGAGAATGTAGAGTATCTCTGCAGTTTGGAACTTTAGTCAGTTTATAGGTAAGCCAAAAAGCGAGTACACTAACTGATCATAGAGTAATTACATATATCTAGTCATTAGTATTAATAGAAGTCTATCTATCAATAGAAAGTCTGGCCACTAAACTGTATGATGGTTCATGTTTCTGATGTTATGTAACTGGAAGCAAAGGAAATCTGTCATTATATATATATAATCTATAATCTATATATAATCTATATAATCTAAGGGTCTCATTTTGACGTAATCAATAAATTTGATGGATATTATTAATTGGACCTTATTTATTACGTGGAAGACTAAGTTTATCATAATAATCGCGCAGGTGGTCAGTCTCAGCACAAATAGCTATGTGATGGCATCCCTAAAGACATCAGAATGTTTCCTTGAGATGATAAATATGTCCTACTAAGGAGTGATAACAAGCATCAAACATGAATTCATGGCTTACTGTTTATCAATTTAATCACCTAACATGAAGACCAGGCACATTGGAAGGATACGCACCAAAGATCGCTCACTCATAACGCCCAATAAGAATAATACCTCGACTAAGTATCATCCACTGAATATATTACGTGATATAATTGTAATGAGTGCTAATAATATTAAACTGTATTACTTGAAAAGCTGAGAGGTACTAGACAGCTATTTCATTTGAGCTGTAAAATATCCTTCCGTGAATGATCGAAATCTTATACGATATCAGACTCATGGTCTCAAGAATTAAGACACAAAAACTGGAGACTTCAATATATGTCTAGATGTTTAATAAGTGCATTACAAAATACATCAACCTAATGAGCTAATAATACACTTTTTCTATAAATCGTATCAATGAAAAGAAGATTTGTATCATTAAAATTAACCTTATCATTTCTTTTTGTTAGTAAACAACTTGAAATAACTATTGAGATAAATATGAACAGGTTATTAATTCATTTCGCATCGTTTGTTTAAATCTTCCCATTGATGTTTAGGACTGAAATTGATCAGCCTCTTATTGGCATATGTGCATCTTGTACGGACTGCCCCGATATTGCCTTAAGCCACAAGCATTATGAGCGAAGATGGATGGTGGCTAGAAATAAGTGTGTTTCGTCCTACTTGGGACTCATTGGTTGGGTGTACCCGGATCTCAGAATTGATGTCAACTCCGGAACTCTAACCTAATACCGTGTGCTTCAAACGTCATCGCGTTACCCACTAAACTACTGAATCCTAATAGCCACTAGCTGGTACAATTAAATAAAGTTTAAATGCGTTTTGTATTATTTGTTTTTACTCTTCCCATTAAAAATATTATTTTCTGAATAATTTTGGTTGGACAACTATCGAAAACCGAGAGCCACCAGAAAACTGGATTGTCCTAGTATAGAACACATCAACAGTTCACATTCTAGAACCCACCCAATATCTAATCCTGGATCTTCAAATCTCACGATAAACTTTTAATCATTAGATTATTGAGACGGGATCGTGTACTTAGTTATGTTCAAATAATACTTGATTTTGACCCCCCCCCCAACAGCTAACACGTTGAGTAACCTAAATCTACTGTTCAAGCTCAGTGGAGAACTGAAGGACCTGGGTTCGATCCCTGGTAGGGTCGTGGATGTGAACTACTGAACACTTCTATAATTAGACAAAAAAGTTGTCCAAGTTGTCCAAGTGCTTTCTGGCTATCAATGATTATCTAAGTAGGGTCAATGAGTGATGTAAACCATGAAACTAATTGTAAATACAAATATTGTTTATTATTTTCTGCCACTACGTAAAAACTAGTCTTTTTTCTCGGTAAAGGCAATTTATGTATTGGTGATTACAGTGGAAGTGATTGCATAATGAACCACAATAAACAAAAGGTGCAAATTGTTAGTAGGTTGACAGGTGTACTAGTAATGTTATAATGCTCGCTTTTCCATGTCTATACGAATGGGACATTATTTTTGTCTTAAACGAATATCTACACTAGATTCCCTCCCAGTGTCTATTCTACAGGACTTCAACACAACTCAGATCAAAAACACGTGGTTAGTCTGAACCAAACGTAAATATATTTTCATACCTAAAACCAACAACAAACAATAATAATAAGGATTAGAGAATTTCTAACTCATCTAACGCCTGTAAGACTGTCTACAAGTCTGACTAAGCAAATAACCAATCATTATCATTCTTGTCCACACAGCAAGTAGTGATAAGAATTAGGTCGAAACTTGAGAAAATGAACTTTTTAAAATAATAACCATTAGAAATTACATAATAAGAGGTGTGTAAATAATAGAAATCATTTGAATAATAAATAAGATGTACAGGATGATGTTAAATTTTCTGCGGGATCATGGATGTTCACTGCTAAGGCGTTCCATCCTAGGACAAAACGGCTGTCCGGTGCTTCCAGGTTTTCAATGATGGTCTAACATTGATCGATTCATGAACTTAATCATAACTCAATAGTCTCCACAACCTTATACTGATAAACAAATCTGTTTATCATTTTTAACCAATGCTCGTTAATCA